GAAGCAAGTGTGGGGATAATCAAGAAGCCCCTACACTGGTGACCACAGAGGAGAACAATGAAAGGCAGATGGAGGGCAGGGAAGCATGGAGGTAGGTCCAGATCACAACATACATCTTCTATAAGTCTTGGGGGTATTAGGCAAGATCCTGTCCTTGGAGAGAAGCAGAGCAAAGAAGAAAGGGAACCTCAGAGAGTGAACAATGCAAGAGACTTAACAGTGCATTAGCCAGGTAGAACTCGAGATTGAGTGAATTCACCCAAAAGAATGAATATACAAAGGATGAAGTCATCCTTGCTCTTCATCATTGCGATTCATCAGACCAAAGATAGACTTTTCATAGCACAGATATCTCCATTTGAACATGGGTTCTGTTAAAGTCAACACAGAAGAACAGAAACTTTGAGGGCATGCTTCATCTCCTCCTAAAATAGAGATCTAAAACAGATCTGCTGACTCATGCCTTAAAAGAGTATGATTTTTCCCCACAGATTAGAAAGGGAGCTCACACACACAAGTTCAGATTAGAAGCCTGTACTGTAGGAATATAACCTTTGATAACTGCTGTGCTGCCAATCCACCCTAAACACTACAATCTGGACACGGGACCAGGGATGAGCTAAGACTGGGTAGCCTTACAGTGGGAATGAAGGGCAGAAGAAACAAGGGTAGAAATGATGGAAGAGTGGAGATCAGACAGATCCAGTGGTAATCCAGACACCATGGAAAAACTGACTGTGGGTTTATGGTTAATGTTTCAAGAGTACTCAGTGTGTGGCTCCTCTTGAGAGCGTGAAAGTTGACTGTGCTGCAGGCACAAGGTTGGAGCTCCTGAAACAGAAGCATGTGAACATGTGAACATCTGCACCTGAGCAAGGTTTCTAAGGTCCCTTTACAGTCAGCTAAAATCTGAGGATCAATTCTGCTGCCCAAGCATAAGGCATGGAGTGCCACTTGAGATGCCCAGCAGTATCACATCTCCATATCCATAAGGGCACAGGTCTCCCATAGGTCTGGTTTCGGATTTAAGAGCTCTGCATGGATGTCTTGGGCACTCTATAACATCTTAGGTGGCACTTGGTGTCTGTGGCTAACTAACAAGAGTTGAGCTCAGTGAAGTGTAGGATTAATTCAACTGACCCTAGAGTAGACACCCACATTGTGGCAGTTGAGTGCTTCAGGAATCACTGCAAGCTGCTACTGCAGAAGGGTGAAGGATGTCCCCCCAGCAGCTCCATGCAGATGTAGTAGTACCTTGGACTGAACTAGGTGTTATTTTTAGGCAGCTGGATCCAATCCTGCATTGCTACCAATTGTAGAGGGGTTTCAACACACAGTCCACATGTAGAAACCTCTGTGTAGAGATTTTAACTCAGGTTTAAGTCCTCTATCAGCTGAACTTCACTCGGTCTGTAATTCAGGTGTGCCAAGGCATAAGGGCACTGGTGTGGTGGGTGGATTAAGGAGACTGCTACAGAAAAAGACAGACTGAACACTTAAATAGACTCCTCAATGTTTTGAACATAAAACATGTCTCGTCTTCCACAGACACAGCCTCAGATGCTACTGCAGATCTTATGGGGAGGTCAGTCTGAAGAACTAAGTAGGCCTGGCACAATCAGGGCCAAAGTGCCAAGAAGCCATCAGCACACTTAGCAGAGATGAGTATGTTTCTGGCTGCCCCTTGCAGCACAGAAAGCAAGGTCTGAATGGATGCTGGAGCACAAATGGTTCCTGTGTCGGAGCAGAAGCGCACTGATGGCTTGGCACAGGCAGGGAGTGTACTGCGGGAGCTATTCCGGACCTGTGGGTAAAGACTCCAGATCCCAGCCCATTTGTCATTTTTCATCCCCATTAAATTCACTTTATTTTCTTGTTTAAACTTAGCACATAACTCAAAAGAACGTAACGTTTTAGCTTGACAAAGAGTTTATTCAGGCAGCTGATTTACCAACGCAAAGGCTACTCCCTACCAACTCCTACCAGAAATGCATGTTCAGTCATAAACCTCTGATTTCATTAAAAGATTTACATCTCCACACATTATCCCAGCTGGAAAATCTATAATTAGTTGTACACTTTTCCAAAGGAACTTTGCCCTGATTTGCCTGAAACCTGGGGAAGGGCTCCATGCATCCATCACAATTTCCTACCACTTTAGAGACGCTGTGTGGGCAGATTTAATAGGTTCTCTCTTGCTTCCTGGTGAGGAGAAGGATTGCATAAGATGTGAGTCAAGACACAGGTCTTGAAGCTGTGACTGTGATACTTACAGGAGCTGCACTGTCTGCCTGGCATGTCAATAACCAGCACATTTTGCAGCAGTGAAATCAGCCAACTTTGGGTCATTGGAGAAAGGAGGACACAAATGTTCTCCCCATGCTTGAAATCCCAGGGTCAGCACTACCCACTCTTTGGGGAAAAAGGCTTTGGGGTTCTTTTTATCATCCCAGCTTACCCTTTCACACTCCTAACCGCATCCTAAGCTTTCTGACACCTAAGATGAAGCTTTCTTTGGTGATGAGTCCTCTTGATCGTTTCTCTGAGGGTCCTTGTTTATTCCCAGTACTTTCCTTAAGGGTCTTTTTCACGCAGGTCCAGAGCCTTTCCACACAGGGGTTTTCTCCCTGTATATGAAATAAGACTTTAAACAACTTACACACTATTGCCAGAGAGAAATTCCAAACTTTCTTCATGTTCAGTCTCTCAAAATTGAGTCTATTTCATCTAATTTGGGGTATCTTATCAGAATTCCTAACTTAGATGTAGAGATATCCTAGGTACCTTCTGGGGTCCCTGGAAGCAACCATGTACCCTCAAAGAGTAGGTCTTTTGCATGCTGAATTACTTCTTCCCTGTGAGGGTGCTGAGGCGCTGGCACAGGGTGCCCAGAGAAGCTGTGGCTGCCCCATCCCTGGCAGTGTTCAAGGCCAGGTTGGACACAGGGGCTTGGAGCAAGCTGCTCCAGGGGAAGGGGTCCCTGCCTGTGGCAGGGGTTGGAGCTGGAGGAGCTTTAAGGTCCCTTCCAACCCAAACCACTCTGATCGTGCACCTCAATAAGGGACTGTGCGTCAACCTTTGTCCCACCTTAAATATCCAGTTAGGTACCTGAGGCTGGCAGAGTGATGCTGGGCCAAGTTCCTCAGCTCATTTTATCTCATTAAACAGTGTTCTTGGTTTAATCCTGATCCGCTCTTCTGAGATTGGAAATGTCAGCTAAGCCCAGATTCTATTCATCCCTCAATCTGATTCAGACAGAATCAGCTAATAAAGCCTTCTTTCTCTGACAGTATTTGAGCAATTATCATAGAATCAGAGAATGGCCTGGACCCCCCCGACATTTGGTCATTCTATAGAATGGAAGGACCCCGAAATCCTTCTCTTCAGGGCTGCTCCATCCCATCACCCTCAGGCTGTGTTTATGCATGGGATTGTCCTGACCCAGGGGCAGGACATTGCACTTGACCTTGTTGTACTCCATCAGGTTCACATGGTACCACCTCTCCAGCCTGTCCAGGTCCCTCTGGATCCCATCCCTTCCATCCAGCTTGTCAATGTCACCACACAGCTCAGTGTCATTGGCAAACTCACTGAGGGTGCATCAATCCCTATGTCCATGTCACCAACACAGATGCTGAACATGATCAGTCCTAACACTGACCCCTGAGGAACACCACTCGTCACTGGTCTCCACTTGGACATTGAGCCATTCACCCTCAACTCTTTGAGTGTGACCATACAGACAATTCCTTTTCCACTGAGTGGTCCATCCATCAAATCCATGTCTCTCCAGTTTAGAGACAAGGCAGATAATGGCAGATTGCTAGTGCTACTGCAGACACCAAGGAGAAAAACCTTTTCCCAGCTTTCCTACACGTCATATTGACCTACACTGCTTCTGTTCCACCCTTTCCAGTTCCTATTTCTCCAGCTGAACAAACCACAGCATGAAGCACAGCCTCCCGGTTCACACATTCATTTCCATGTTCCCTGAGCAGCACTGACTCTTTGGTGCCTGTGTTCTATCATAAGCTCTATCATGAGCTCTACCTCGTTATTATCATCATCCTAATACCTGGTTTCATGTCCTGCACCTGCAGGCTGAACTCCTTTGCTTACACTAATACATACACATTTCAGCCTCCTTTCAATGGAGCACTCCCACTGTCCTTTCACTAATTGAATCACCTAATCAGGCTTCTTGTATATGAGCATGTTCTTTCCCTGGGCTGTCCACCCTTCTACTCACTGACACACTTTAGCTTCCCTTACTTGCTTTTTTTGACTCATATTTTTTAACCAAGTCTAGATACAGAGATCACATCGGTCTCTCCCACTAATCCACATAAACTTCTCACTCACAAGCCAGGAAAAGGCAGAGAGGAGCCAGCTCCATCAGGTTCTTGAGATACTTCAAGGGAAGGGATCCTCTCCTTGTGCTGTGCTCCGGGGAGACCCCCCCTGCAGTCCTGATCCAGCTCTGGGGCAGCAGCACAAGAGGGACGTGGAGCTGTTGGAGCGAGGCCAGAGGAGGCCATGGAGATGCTGCGAGGGCTGGAGCAGCTCTGCTCTGGAGCCAGGCTGAGAGAGCTGGGCTGGGGCAGCCTGGAGAAGAGAAGGCTCCTGAAGGGGAGACCTTAGAGCAGCTCCAGTGCCTAAAGGGGCTGCAGGAAAGCTGGAGAGGGGCTTGGGACAAGGGCCTGTAGGGACAGGCCAAGGGGAATGGCTTGAACCTGCCCGAGGGGAGACTGAGTGAGCTCAGGCAGAAGCTCTTCCCTGTGAGGGTGCTGAGGCGCTGGCACAGGGTGCCCAGAGAAGCTGTGGCTGCCCCATCCCTGGCAGTGTTCAAGGCCAGGTTGGACACAGGGGCTTGGAGCAAGCTGCTCCAGTGGAAGGGGTCCCTGCCCGTGGCAGGGCTTGGAGCTGGAGGAGCTTTAAGGTCCCTTCCAACACAAACCAGGCTGGGATTCTATGAATTAGCACATTCAATTGCTATAGTGTAATCCTTTATATTTCACCTTTAATCACATTTCACCTTTGAAAGGCCATGTGCTGAACAGGGCTTTGGGGTTTGCAGAACCCGGCAGGGCTGGTCAGGTCTGGATCTCTCTGAGCATCTTCCACAGGGATGGCCTTTTATTAGCATTCCTCTCTGGTTCTTATGCCGAGTGACATTTCCCTGGGAAGCATTTTCACATACTGCATCTCAGACTGAGTAAGTCTCTGGATATTGTTAGCAAATTAATAAAGACTGTGAACAGCTTCCTGTGTGATGTGTAAGTGATAAACACTCCGAAAACCCTTCCTCCTCCCCTCGCTGCCTGTGAATTGCTCTTCTAAAAATAAAGGGAATGACAGAATTCCTGTATTGTGTGACAAGAGAGGCCCTTCAGTCACTTGCAGCTGAGAAAGCCTAATGTCACAGATGACATTTGGGATTGTTATTAGTGCTACGGGCTCAATCCTGCTGTAATGAGGGAGAAATGGCAGTGAAATCAAGCAGGCTATTCCTTGTGCTTCCCAAGGAAAGCAAACATGGAATCTCTGCTTCTTGCAGCGATATTTCCTTTCTCATGCCTCTTCCTCACCCCATCACCTAGGCACCACCCCCCCACGTGCTGCTTTCTTATGCCTCACTCCTAAATAATGAGGTGGTGATTTTGGGGCTGTGCATAAACCATCAGTCTAATTCCAACACATTTAATTGCATCTGTAACAGGAGATGGGTTTGGATCTGAAGCCGCATGTTCTTGTCAGAGCTTTAATTATTTGAAGGAATGTTTTGCCCTGACATACTTCACCATTCCCATTTATCCGCTGTGGAATTAACACCCCGTTCAATGTGGAATTAATGCAGACAAAAATGAACATGCACGCTGCCTTTTGGGAGATGTTACGTTGGATACATGGCTGATAACTGCTACGAGGGGAATAAATAACTCCAGAGCCAGAAAATGTTATGGAGGAGCCTTTATTTTTCAGTCTGCTTCAGCTTCTCCCTTTTTTATTGTCTCCTGTGGACAGTCTGGAGCTATATCCACACGGACAGTTGGATGTATTGCTTATGCCAACCGCACAGAAGCTTAATTGCTTTTGAGAAGGAGCTCAATAACTTTATGAATGATTAAATGGCATTCTGTCTGCGCAACATGGGTTGTGAAGCTGCAGTACCTGACCCTGGGGACTCCTCTCACTGCTCTGTAGCTCTTGGGCCATAGGGAAGGACTGTCAGTTCCCCGCCAGATCAACGAGCTGCATCTTCTGCTGCTCCGGCTTCAACTGTCACCAGCTCTTAGGGCTGTAGAGGAAGGTAAGTACATCAAATACAGCTGGATGGCTGTGGTTTCAAGGGGAATTCCTTCCTCACCCTTGCTGACAGCCAGCTGAAACATAAAGTGTTAGCACTGAATGCCTTGGGGGGGGGCATTATGGCTGTGTCAGGGGAAAAGCAGAGCTCCTCCTTCCTCCATGGCACCCAAAGGGAAGCAGTGCAGGGAGTCCAGACCCAGGCATAAAGGGGTCCTTCAGAGGCTCATCTCAGCTGCTCTGCCTGCCCAGGCAGCAGAGCAGATCCCTAAAACTGGGGCCTGTCCTTTGCCAATCCGATTGGGGAAACAGTCCCTGACAGAGCAGCACTGACAGAACACCTCCATGGTGGTGAGGTCTGAGTAAGGTGAACGGGCTTCCCATTGGGAATTGCATCGTATTCCTTGGTAATGCCAACACTACAGAATCCCAGACTGGTTTGGGTTGGAAGGGACCTTAAAGCCCCTTCAGCTCCAACCCCTGCCACAGGCAGGGACCCCTTCCACTGGAGCAGCTTGCTCCAAGCCCCTGTGTCCAACCTGGCCTTGAACACTGCCAGGGATGGGGCAGCCACAGCTTCTCTGGGCACCCTGTGCCAGCGCCTCAGCACCCTCACAGGGAAGAGCTCCTGCCTTTTACCCAAAGATAAGATCCTGCAGAAGGATCATTTCTCTTCATCAGGGACTGCAGTGATAGGACACTGGGTAATGGGTTACGGCTTAAACGGGAGAGATTCATGTGAGATCTAATGAAGTTCTTCCCTCTGAGGGTGCTGAGGTGCTGGCACAGGTTGGAACTGGATGATCTTCAGGTCCTTTCCAACCCAAACCATTTTAGGATCCGATAATCACCTCACTATCACCAGGTACCACCCCTCCATGAGCGCACTGGCACAGAGGAGCAGGGAAAACCACTGTATCACAGCAAAAGCACGCAGCCACCGCGTTCCTTTGAAAACCTCCTTATTCACATCCATCCCCGCTCACTGCGCAGCTGCTTCCATATCACTCTGATCCAGCGGATAGCTCCGAGGCCGGCTTCTGTGTGGAGACCCCATTCCCGACCCCATTCCCATTCCCCTCCCCTCAGGCCCCGCTCACATCCGGGCACTCTCCCCTCCTTTGCGCGCCAAAACGCAGCCTCGCTCTCCCTCAGCCCCGCCCCGTCCACCAACGGCAGCCCGGGGCTCTACTGCGCATGCGCGGGAAGTGGGCGGGGAAGGGGAACCCGGCAGCGAGTCCCTAACGACGAGTGCGTTGCTAGGGCGGCGGCGCATGCGCGCAGGGGCGGGGCGGGCTCGCCTTGAGGGGAGCCGGGCCGGGCGGGTTGCGGCCATGGAGCCCCAAGAGGAGGAGGTTCCTGTGAGTACTGAATGTGAGGAGGGCATGGGGCAGTCCGGGTTCGGGGGGTAACGTGTCAGAGGGGTGCTGGCAGCGCTGAGGAGCCCCTCACGCCGTCTCCGGCCTGGAGGAGTGGGGTGGTTCACTCATGTTTATGCTTTCACCCGGCTTGTGGTGGAAACCGACCGGGTTCTGCCGCGGGAAGGGGCTGTTGATGGGGGTTGCTGTGCCTCGCAAAAGGGGGATGAAACCGACCAGAGCCCTCTTCTTATCTGCTGGAGGGACGGAGGGAAGTGACCGCCTTGATTCCTCGCCATTCCCTGTGTTATCCCCTGGGAGAAGGGTGGATGTAACCGGTCTGCTTCCTCATCCCCTTATGGAAGGAGGGGTGTGTAGCTGGCCTGTTTCTTTTGTGTCTTATTGTGCCCTGGAGGGGGTTAGAGAGCAAGCCAGGGGTGCAGCAGGCTTGGCTTATAACCCTTGTGGGAACTCGGAGTGGCTCATTGGAGCCATTTATCTCCTAAGGCTCATACCAGTCTCTGTGCACTTTGCTGTGTTCACTCAGCGCTGGAGATGGGGAAGAGGACAGCTATGGTCAGCCTGTGTGTCCCACTGCATCCTGCCACGTTGTCGAGTTAGTGTCCTCCTGACTTTGTCCCTTCTGAGAGCAGTGGGAAGCTTCTCCCTGTGGTCTTGCACTGTGCTGGCATCTGAAGTGTGCTGCTTTTCTCATGGTGGTTTCCAGAGGTGCACAAGTTCTCAGTCCTGCAAACTGAGTGCAAGCTCAGGCTGAGAGAGCTGGGCTGGGTCAGCCTGGAGAAGAGAAGGCTCCTGAAAGGGAGACCTTAGAGCAGCTCCAGTGCCTAAAGGGGCTGCAGGAAAGCTGGAGAGGGGCTTGGGACAAGGGCCTGTAGGGCCAGGCCAAGGGGAATGGCTTGAACCTGCCCGAGGGGAGACTGAGCTGAGCTCTTAGGCAGAAGCTCTTCCCTGTGAGGGTGCTGAGGCGCTGGCACAGGGTGCCCAGAGAAGCTGTGGCTGCCCCATCCCTGGCAGTGTTCAAGGCCAGGTTGGACACAGGGGCTTGGAGCAAGCTGCTCCAGTGGAAGGGGTCCCTGCCCGTGGCAGGGGGTTGGAACTGGGTGATCTTTAGGGTGCTTTCCACCACAAACCAGTCTGGGATTCTATGACACTGTTGGGAAGCATATCTGTGCAGGGTATTTGAAGAGCTGGTGTTGGACACTTGGGTCTGGAGATGTTTATGGGTGTCAGTTCCACAGTCCTGTTTCAGGAAACGTGTAAGAGGAGAACCCAAAATGAGAAGTTATGAGATTATCACTCCAAGCATTCATCCCAGAGCTTTGAAGGAACTTGGATGCACAACAGCCAAATAGTAACCAGTAGTAGATGCCGTATCAGCCTTTACTTATGTTCCCTGGAAGAGCCATGGATTGGTACAGGCTTCAGTCTTAACAGGGAAAATAATAGAAACTAAACCAAAGAATGGAAACAGCCATGTGAGTCAATATGATGTGTTAAAGGCAAGTCTGGCCATAATGAATGTGTGAATATGGGAACTCAGAGTAGTCTTAGTTCAGTTTCTGAAAGTCTTCTGCTGAAGGACCTTCACCATGTGTTTTCAGGCAGGCTGATTTGCCAGTTAATAGAAGGGGTGGCTCTTTCACTAATGTGTTTATTTTGTATCTAGTCTAAATGGAAAATAAGTTGATTTGAGTGCTGATGTACAGGCCAATTTCACACTTTATGATTCAAAGTTGTATATGATGTTACAGACTGGTGACTTTGCCTCTTGCTCCTTACTTACTACTTACACTGGTCATCAGTGCACAGGCACCTTCCAGTAGAGCAGTTGCTCCAAGCCCCATCCAGCCTGGCCATGAATGCTGACAAGGATGGGGTATCTGTCTCAGGCCCGTTGTTTTGATCCTTTTTAGGTGTCAGCTTGGCTGTTTCACAGTGGCCGTTGGTTGCTTCCCTGTCTGTGTTTTGCACTGTGGTTAACTGCTGCTCTGACAACCAGCGCTCAGCTCTGGGAATACCCGATGGAGCTCAGCCAAGCTGCTGGTGTACTGCTGTTCTTCTGGGTCAAGGGGATGCAGGTGCAGACAGATAGTAGGCCAAACAGTCTTATTCCTGTTGTAGTATGGCTCTTCTTACACCTTTAGTGTCTACTTCTGTCACAAGAGACTATTTTAGCTCTAATTTCAATTGAGAGAGAATAATACTGAAACATGATGTTTGTATCTTGTGCCATGCAACACTGTGGTTTCACGAGTGCTACATAAACCAGCAAGCCCCAGCTCACCTATGGGAAGATGTGACCTGTGCTGCTGTACCTGGGTAATGTATTATTGCCTCTGTGTAGTTTTGGCACATGTTACAGCGGCTAGGCCATGGACTGTGTAATTATGCTTAAAATTGCCTTAAGAAACATCTACTTAACTCTTACCTCAAGTTTGTGCTTACTCAAGAGAGACTGAGATATCTTCCTGCCAAAGTGCCATTGATGATAACTTAAAGGCATTATAGAACTTGTGGGCATCAGACTGCAAGAGTGAGAAGAAATTCTGTAACCAGCACAGTGATACTTTGCACTGTGTGTGCTCTTTCTCCTTTTATCACTGAGAATATTTTGTCTGTTCCCTCTTTCAGGTTATTTTTGATTATGAGGATGATTTGAGTCCTGCAAACTTATTGATCCTACATTTAGCTAAGCATTAAGTATTATAAATAAGATCCAGGAGGATCAAGGTTTTGGTTCTCATTCTTTAATGCTGCAAATTGCCATCTACATCCCAGGAAGTCAATCATTCATAGAACTTTTTCTATCTCCTTTCTCTTTTTTAAAGCTAAGTAAAACATCAAAGTATGAACTGACAGAGGTACCTTTCATTTTAGTGCTAGTTTAGCATGGAAAAGAGAAAGGAATGAGCATTTTCTTAAAGTTCAGAGAACAGCACAACGCAATTACAGCTCTTGGAACTATGATCAAAACAAACTAACAAAAAATGATTCAAAATCTGCTTTTTCAGTGGCCCAGATGTGAGAATGTAAAGGAGTAGCTGACCTTCTCATTACATAAAAGCACTCAGGAACGCTGTTAAATGCTCCTGTTGGAGTTAGGATTTGGACAGCAAGCAATTAAGGGTTGGTTTTTTTTGCCCAGGAATGGAAAAAAAAAAAAAGGCCAAGCTACCTTATGTGAAGCTGAATTTTGTCTTTATTTGCAACAAGGAGAGAAGAGGTTGTTGCCTGGGCAAAAGTGAAGTTTTCATTATTAGCTGTTAGGTTGCTGAGGTGGCTGTAGCAGTGGTTACACGTTGGGAATTTAGTATGTTCTTGTAACTGGAAATTAGGTTTTCATCTACACTGCCTTTCTCAGGAGAGACTGGGCTAGATGATCTTTGAGGTCCCCTCTGACTGAGCTGCTCTATGAAACCCAAACTAATTAGTTCTGAATTAACAGAAAGAGTTGCCAAGAAATAGGAGAAACCTGTAGTTTCTTTTTGATCTTCTTCCTTGCTTTGCATGCCTGGTGGAAGAGCTTGTGGGTGAGGAGTGCCTGGTGTGGTTGGAAGTGGCTGCTTAGGTAAGATGGACATGCATAATCCATATGGCTGGATGGGGTGTATGTGATGGAGTGGTTGAGCTGGCTGGTGACCCCTTTCTGTCATCTTTGGAAGGTTGTAATGACTGGGCGGTGTTTGTAATAACTGCAGGAAGGTTCATGTTGTGCCTTTTTTCAAGAAGGGCAGGAAAGAGGACCTGAAGAACTACTGCCCAGTTCGACCAGTCAGATGTTCAAAATCCAACTGGTGGTGTTCCTCTGGGGGTCGGTCCTTGGGCTAATGCTGAGTCACATCACCACTGGTGACCTAGGTGGATGGGGGATGCACTCCTGTTCAGTCTGTGAATTGAAGGGAGTGGATGATACACTGGAGGATGGTGCTCCCATGCAGAGGGACCTTGGCAAGCTGGATTAATCACCCAGGAGGAATCTGATGAGCTTCAGCTATGAAAAATACAGAGGCTTTTTGACCGAGAAGAAACATCCCTGGACATCAGCACTGACTGGTGGCCCTTTGGAGAAGAGCCTGAAGGCCTGTGGGCAGCAAGTTGAATGTTGGGTGACAGAGCACTATTCTGCAATGAAAGCTAGCCGTGCATTGGACTGCATTAATGGAAGCATAATTAGCAGTTGAGGGAACTGAATATTCCCTCCTCTGTGCCACAGCTGGATCTTCTCTCCTCTTCTGGGCTGCTCATACAAGCAAGAGGTCAGAACCATGGACTGAGGCTGGTGGAGGTCACCAAGGTGGTGAAAGGCTGGAGCATGTGGTGTGTGAGAAGCTGCAGAGGTTGGGTTTGTCTGTAAGGAAGGAGGAGGGTGAAGGTGAGGGTCTGGCAATGGTGCTTCCCTGCTGGAAGAGGGATTCAGGGAAGCGTCGTGGTTTAAGCCCAGTCAGCAACCCAGAAAATCCACATAGCTGTTCACTCACTCCCTCCGCTTCTTCCCGCCAGCTCCCAGAGGGATGGGGAGGAGAATCAAGAGAATGTAACTCCCACTGGTTGAGATAAGAACAGCCCAGTAACTAGGGTATAACACAAACCACTGCTGCTACCACCAGTAATAATAATGATAAGGGAAATAACAAGGGAAGAGGATACCACCGCTTACCACCTGCTGACTGATATCCAGCCTGACCCAGCAGTGATCTAGCCCTTCCAGGTAACTGCCCCCAGTTTACATCCTGGCCATGACATGCTGTGGTATGGAATACCCCTTTGGTCAGTTTGGGTCAGGTGTCCTGTCTCTGCTTCCTCCCGGCTTCCCCTCCTCCCTGGCACAGCATGAGACTCACAAAGCCCTTGGTCAGACTGAACATTACTGAGCAGCAACTAAAACCATCGGTGTTATCAGCGCTGCTCCCAGGCTGAAAGTCAAAACCACAGCACTGCACCAGCCACTAAGGAGGAGAAAAATGACTGCTGCTGCTGAACCC